AGCCCATCAGTAAGGTTTGTCACGTCAACAAAAGTTACTACTTCGGCACACCGGTGTGTTGGAGAGTAAACCCACAACATTTAACAAATAAACGCGTCCGACTATAGTCTTTGCAACCCTTACGCCGGCTACCGATTAATCTTGCTCTGGCTCGTGGACCGAGTGCTTCGAGACATTCCTCCGGCGTTCGCCGGCATCGAGAGAGGAGTTGATTGTCGCGAACGCGTCTCTTGACGGAGCCCACTTGAAGCTCTCCTCGAGCTTTTCAGTGGTAGGTGAGGAAAAAAAAAAGAGACTCGAGCATATATAAGGTGTCTGTTGTGAGTCATTTCAACCGCAGGGGCTTAAACCGCCGTCTAATTATAACCGCTCAACAATGGAAGGGGACTCCCATGGGATGCCCGCTATTTTCAGGGAGTGCGAGAACAAAGTCACCGATTGAGGGCAGCTCTCGGGAGCACGGAGCGGCGTCTACGCGCCACGCCTCCTCTCAAGACGCGGGACGGAGGCGGTGGGCCACGTGCACCAGGAGGTAAGGATGCGATGCCGTTGGCCACGTGCACCACGAGGTAAGGATGCGATGCCGTTCTTATATAAAAAGAGGGTAACGGGTGATGGGTTCTTTTTAAATCCTTTATATTAAGTTCGCTTGCTTGCTTGCTTGCGTGCTTGCGTGCTTGCTTGCTTACTTACGACCGTGCAAATCTTTCGGTCGTTTTTTAACCCACTTCCCGTGATCCAATCGAGCTGACATTTTGCACACAGACTCGTTGTGCGTGACAATTAATTTTCGTGTAATTTTTTTCCCAAATTGTTACACTGTTTAGGGGCATTTTTAAAAATATTTAATTACCAATTGCTTAATGCTGGCAGACAATCATCTGACCCATAGGTGGCAGCCATCTCAAGCCAGAGGACGAGAGGACTCTAGCCGCCACGCATATAAAAGATTTAGAGTGAAAAACTTAGTTTTTACGGGTTAATTTTTTCTCTACATGGTTCATACGGTTGTTGTTTTCTCTCTCTCTCTCTACACACAAAACATGCATTTCGGGTATTTTGCTGCTGTAAATTTCCACACGATACGCCACTTCGTCGGGCTACCGTTTGTGGCAGCCAAGGCGCACCTGAAGAAGAGCAACGCAGCTCAATGGGCCTCACCTGGTAAAATAAAATATAACGTTTTGGGTTGTTTTAGAGTCGTGGGCGAAGGAGAAGTGGAAGTTATTCAGGCCGGACTCGAACGTGAGGTGCAGGGAGTCGACAGCGCGGGTGGCTGGCGGAGATGGGTTTCATTTCCAGAGCGTGGGGATAAAAGTTCCAAGTGGTTATTTTTTAAATGTTTTATACCATTCAGAACTTCTCTCCCACGGCACCAACTCCGGAGTGGTTTTGTGACTCGTAAAGTTACAATGCAGAACTACGAGGATAGAGTCTGTGGCCACGCAGGGGCGTTTACAAAACAGGGGCAAAAGGCGACGCTGGCAAGATAGGCCGCAGTTGATGATTCATTCAAAGCGTCGATACATATCCCCTCTGCCACGTGTGGTTGTTGTCCCTTTCCGCAGTCGTATCCCGATTGTGCTTTGTCAGCTCGTTACTCGAAGAAGCCATCGGGAACTCTCTCTCTCTCTCTCTCCGAGCAGCGCAGAAGCTTCGTGTCAGAGACGAGTTCACGGACGCTGATATCGTTGAGCTACCTCTGAGATCCTTTCAAGTGGCCTCTGGTTGACACAGCAAGGCGGTGGTGGCGGTGGTGGGGGGGGGGGGGGCAGCACTCCCCCAACCGTCACACCCCTGAGAGTAGTCGTCGTCGCATTACAGTCAAACCGATATGTGTAATTCTCAGAGCTCGGATTTAGCCAATTTTAGTGCAGAACCAAATTTCATGTGATGGGGGGGTTATTTTTTTTTCACTCTTTGGTGACCGGGTTGAGACCATCAACCCACTGCACTCGAGAACCCGAGTTTGACGACAGACGGCTGCCGAAATTTGGCAGAGCCCGATATCTCAGCGCTCTGGCCTCTGAATCACCCAGCCATCAATTTGAATTCGTTTATATCAATGGCCTGCGATGAGCGGGCACAAAGCGTTTGGCGGAGCGCGCTACAAACCCATGGCCTGAGATGAATTCCTGATCGTGGAGTGTGCTATCTGAACCGCTCCTGGGGTCCCTCACTTGACCACGTTAGCCAGCGTGGTGAAGTATGGTCAGACTACTCCTATGAACACCAACAGCTTGGAGAAGCCTCAGTGCAGCAGTCGATCGACAAAGGATTGAAAATGTCCGATCGATATTTCTGGACTATGTTATTCTTGGCCTTCATATGTTCTATGCCATTGTTATATTACCTTTATATGCGCGTCTTCTTTCCGTAACTGCTCTAATCTTTGTACTTTACTCACACAAAAAAAAACAACATTGCCACATTCATCTTGATCACCGCCTTTACAGCACAAATATTGACACACGGTTAGTCGACGTCTCGGGAAATGGCCCTTCGTCAGCAGAAAGAGGCACATACTGCAGAGGGGGTGACTCATAGCTAGAGATCACAGTTTACAGGTTACGCCTAAGCATTTAAGAAAGTTGATTAAAAAAATTAACACTTTTTAATCGACTTCAAAAACTGCATCGTGGAATTTTTATATATATAAAAGTGTGCGCTTGTGCAGCACTGCTCACCGCAGTCACTCAACGCAGAGGCACTCGGATGAATCTAGGGGGTGAGAGCGCCGACTCGGGCAACCACTCAGAAACCTGAGTTCGAATCCAGGCGCTCTCAGTCGCCCGCGATTCAACCTCGCGCGGTAGCGAGCTGACGGCGCGGGACTGGTCAGCGAACGGCCGCTCAAAAAAGAGGAATCATCACATGCAGCGTTGGGTTTCGAACCTTCTCGCGCCCAAGTTCCGGGCTCTGAGAAGCACGCGCACACGCGCACGCACAGCAGCGGTCGCAACCGGGTACCCGATACCCGTACCCTACCCGATACCCGGCTACCCGTACCCGGCCGGGTACGGGTACCCATTTGCGACCCTGCTGCGGCCGGGTACGGGTACGGGTAGGCCGTGAGTCACTGGTGAGTAACCGTTTGTCACTAATTTCCCAACGTCTTGACTCTTCTCACAATTCAAGTTCCTAGAATCAACCCACCTGCGCCGGCAACATGGCTTCATCCCAGAGGTCGCAATCGGGTACCCGTACCCTACCCGATACCCGGCCGGGTACGGGTAGCCGGGTATCGGGTAGGGTACGGGTACCCGTTTTCGACCCTGGTGCGGCGGGTACGCACAGAGGTCGGTCGGTTTGACAAACCGTCTCGCGACAAAGAGTGCATGGTGGGAGTGGTTGTGCCTCGTCGCTCCGCAAGAGGGTTCAACGTTGTGCGTTGAACTTCTTTCGCACCGTGCGTAGCCAACCGTGCTAATGGGAATGCTAGTGCTGCTACTCGAAGGGTGCTTTAGGATAAAAAAAAAATCCCGCGAAGAACATCGTTCTCCCAGACGTGAGCGGTACTACATCTGCTCTGTGAGATTTCCGAGTGGATTCCCCTTCTCATGACGCGTTCCCGACGGCACATTCGCGATGTAAATAAAAAAACAACACCAATATTGCACAAGTTGTTGTTGTTTGTACCCCTCCGTGTGTGCGGCACATTGCAGCCTTTAACATCCCAAAGCGTCCAGAGAGTAGAACGGCGCCAGTGCCGATGGGTATGGGAGCTGGTTATGAAGAATGTCGACTTGGTTAATCGATCACGCGAATGACGCAATTTCACTTGGAAGACATTGAATCGAGGTGCACGTGATGGATATTCACGGCAGGATTTCGCACTCTGAAGTTCCCAGCAGAGCCTCTGCGCTGCATTAGCGAGGCTATTAATAATCCCTGTTGTTGAGTTTCTGTGTCGAGACATCGCTGGGAGTGCATGGCAACTCGCCTTATCTCTCTCGGCAGGCGAGTGTAGCTAGGTAGGTGTATGCGAAGGTAGGCAGGTAAATGGATGTATAGGTCGGTTAGTGGATACGCACATAGGTAGGTGAGTGGGTATGCAGGTAGGTAAGTGTATACGCAGATTGGTAGGTGAGTGGGTATGCAGGTAGGTAAGTGTATACGCAGATTGGTAGGTGAGTGGGTATGCAGGTAGGTAAGTGTATACGCAGATTGGTAGGTGAGTGGGTATGCAGGTAAGTAAGTGTGTACGCAGATTGGTAGGTGAGTGGGTATGCAGGTAAGTAAGTGTATACGCAGATTGGTAGGTGAGTGGGTGTGCAAGTAGGTAAGTGTATACGCAGATTGGTAGGTGAGTGGGTATGCAGGTAAGTAAGTGTATACGCAGCATGATAGGTGAGTGGGTATGCAGGTAGGTAAGTGTATACGCAGATTGGTAGGTGAGTGGGTATGCAAGTAGGTAAGTGGATACGCAGTAAGGGAGGTAGGTAAATAGTAAGGCAGATAGCCAGGCATGTAGGCAGGTAGTGGTGCAATGCAGCATGGGGAAAAACACACGCTTGGGATGACTCCGGAGGGACAGACAGGTGAGCACGTGGATTTGAGGACACACGCAACAGATAAGTAAGGCGGGACTTGCGCGGGACATTCCGCGAGAAGAGATGATCGCCGTGGCGGGATAGGTAGATAAGTGGGTAATGCAGGTAAGTAGGTAAGTAGGCAGGTAGGCAGATATCCAGGCAGGTAGGTATGTTTATAGGTAGATAGCTAGGCGGTTAGGTAGGGGTGCATGCAGGCATAATAGCTCGGCAGGTGTGTGCTATGTCGACGTGTCGTAATGCAGGTAAGTAGGTACGGTACACTCGTATGTGATCAGGTTACTTTCATGATGTAGAAATGTAGGCGGGTAGGTAGGTACACAGGTAGGCAGATATCCAGGCAGGTAGGTACGTTTGTAGGTAGGTATATATGTAGAACGATAGGTAGGCGTAGAGGTAGGTACATAGGCAGGTCGGTAGGTCGGTAGTAAAGGAATAAGAACTCACCTAGTAGTCCCAGGACGCGAAGAACGTGTGGACCCATATTGCCCAGCAGCAGCAGACTTCTCACCACTCCCGATACCGATCTCCCTGCGTCTCGCTCTCTTGCACTCCACGTGCGTCCTCTGCTGCTCTCTCTGCGTTGAAGAGCAGCAGCAAGAGCAGCAGCAGCAGGAGCAGCAGCAGGAGCAAGCGAGCGAGAGCCGGAGACCGTGAGAGTGTCAGCCCGCGGCTTCCTCCTCTCGCTCAACGTGGCTCGCGCCGGCCAGAAGTGGAACCAAACACGGCACTCGCGAAGCCACTTTCAGCTGAATCAAAAGTGTGCCTTGCGTGTGTCTGTGTGTCAACGTGTATGCGTGTGTCAGTGTCTGTGTGTGTGTGTGTCTCTCTCTCTATTGTGAAGTGCAAAGTCTTGGATTGAGGCAGCTCACAGAGAGGTTCCCAGCGAGACACTGGAGTGGAGGGAGAGCTCTCGGGTCGTGTGAATTAGCCTCGAGTAGAGAGAGTCATGTTTCCTTCGGGGAGGGAGGGAGGGGAAGGGGCGGTGTGGAGAGCGTAGGGGAGGGAGGAGGATGTGGTTGTGGTGGTGGTGACGGCGGCACGAGGGGGTTGGGTGAGTGTCGGTGGGTGGATGCTATGGGTAGCGAGTGGGTGGTAATATGGGGGAGTGGATGCTATGGGGAGGGAGTGGATAATATGGGGAGGGAGTGGGTGGTAATATGGGGAGGGAGTGGGTAATATGGGGAGGGAGTGGGTGGTATGGGGAGGGAGTGGGCGATATGGGTAGCGAGTGGGTGGTATGGGGAGGGAGTGGATGATTTGGGGGTCTGGATACTATGGGGAAGGAGTGGGTACTTTGAGGGAGTGGGTGATACGGGGACGGAGTGGGTGTTATGCGGAGCGCGTGAGTGCTATGGGGAGAAGAGAGGCGAGTATTGTTCGGAAAATATTCAAAGAGACGGGGAAGTTGAAATATTGAGTTGTGGTGCGTGTGTGTGACGAGTGCGTGTGACAGTGTGTGTGCATGCGTGCGATGGTGTGTGTGTGGGTGCGTGTGTGGGTGCACGAGATAATATACCGTATGCCTATTTTGGGGAGCTTTTGTGTGTGTGTGTGTGTGTACTTGTGTGGAGTGTGTATATGTGTGTGTGCGTGTTTGTCTGGGGAGCGGTGGTGTAGCGGTTAGCGCGCTGCGTTATGAACCCAGCGACCCGGGTTCGATTCCCGCTCACGGCCAACACCAGTGACGATTATCTGAACCGGTACTGGGCCTCTCCTAGGTCGACTCAGCCTCAAACGAGTACCTGGTGCGGTGTGTAAAAAAACATCTCTACGAGAGAGACAAAGGCGGCCGAGCGTGGTGATGGCCACCCACACCCCCTCGTGTGACGTTCTGGCCTTCACAGGTGCTCGCTAACATCACTTGCCCCAACAGTCTGTTCAGGCTATATGTGAGATTTTTGTCTTTGTATAAACATGCATGTGGGGAGTGGTAGCGGTGCTGTGAGGAGCGTCGTTGACTTCGCAGCGCACCGCGCACTACGAACCCGGCCACCCGAGTTTGATTCCCGCTCGCGACCTGTAACAACAGCGGCGAATATTTGAACGGAACTTCATAGGTACGGTTGTTCGCTCACAGCACTCGCCCCCCCCCCCCAACGTTGAGGTTCTACGGGGGATGTTTGATGCTGAGGCGGAGTGTGGTGCTGCTCTGGGCTACAATCACCCACGGGCTTTGCGGAGGAACGGGATTATGGGGGCTTTTATGACTCAGGCACACGTGCAGCCACGGGGCTCCACGCACAGGGACCCACGCACAGACACACGCGCCACTAAAGACCCCCCCAACTAGTTAAGCCCGGCTACCATCAATGGCGATTGGCATACTTTAACCAGCCCCCCCCCTCCGCCTTCCCCTTCCTTCACCAACCAGAGCTTAACCGGCTTGGTGAAGTATGGTCAAACAAACCCCGAAGCCGACACGATGGGTGGGAGGCGGTTAATCCATACTTCACCACCACACTGGTCAATTGCACGGTGAAGAGGATGGGTGACGGTGTTCGACAATCATCCGGTCACTGGTGGTTAAGCGTTGCCGAGAATCTAACTCGGGCAACTGGGTGCAATAAATCCACCCACTTAGACACGCAAGGCGTCGCTCTTTTGCCACGTCCGTTCGATGAGTTACAGACAAAAGGTTCCCGTGAGAGGTTTGTGTTGTTGTAATCTCGTACTGTAATGTCGGGAAAACCGACGGTTTAAAACAGCGAGGCGCATTTGCCGTGTTCACAAAGGACACGTGTTTAGCAGAAATGTGAGTTTACATAGCGTGTGTTTAGATTTTCACATCAGCTTCACCGCGCCGTGTTCATATTTAACCACCGCAGAATACCCGTCGTCAATGAAGTTGAACAAATCCGGTCTCACTCACAACAAACACAAAGACCCCCCGTATAGCCTTAGCAGACTGTTGGGGAAAGTGCTGTTAGCGAGCACCTATGAAGGCCGGCACGGCACACGAGGGGGTGGGTGGCCATCACCGCTTTTGTCTCCCTAGTGTCGATGTTTATACACCGCACTAGGTACTCATTTGAGGCTGAGTCGACATAGGGGAGGCCATGGAAACGGTTCAGCTAATCGTCACTGATGTTGGCCGTTCAGCGGGAATCGAACTCGGGCAGCCAAGTTCATAACGCAGCGCGCAAACCGCTACACCACCGCTCCCCAGACAAACACGCACACTCACATATACACACTCCACACAAGTACACACACACACAAAAATCTCCTCAATATAGGCATACGGTATTTTATCTCTCATGCACCCACACACGCACCATCGCACGCATGCACACACACTGTCACACGCACTCGTCACACACACGCACCACAATCGCGCTCACCGCACTCACGAATGTTGCTTTGGAATAGACGGGGGGGGGGTTGATATCGCGTACTATTAAACGCGATTTCAGTATTTTTTGTAATTACTCGACCATCTCTTGAATGAACCTCACAGCCCAAACCCTTCACACGACACGTGCCAATTCCCAAGCGTCGTCCCATCAAGCAAGCGCTGAGAACCAGCCGAGAACACGCTTTAGCTTTACGAGACCCGTGTGAGCTAAGGCGCTTGATGGCATCAGTGTGCACCCCCCGCCTCCCCACCATCGCCCATCCATTCGCCACCTAAACACACTGCGAACAATGCCTTAGATAGCGAGCCTGGTTAACGCTGTGATTGTAAACGCTCTTCTGAGCCTTTGTTTGTAAGAAGTCGCGCCAACTCGTTGTGGTTCCCGAGACGAGTTGAGACGTTGCTATTTTTCACTTCTGTGTGTGTGTGGGGGGGGGGGACGTTAGCGCGCTACGCTACGAACCCGCACCCCCATTGCAGGTCACGGACAACACCAGTGACGATTAACTGCACCGGTACGAGGCCTCCTCTAGATCGACTTAGCCTCAAATCATAATAATTACATTTCTAGGGCTCTTTCCATCAAGGATCTCAAAGCGCTGTTCAGGACACTCAGCATAAAAACATAATTATGAATACATTTTAAAAAATACTATAACAACTAGAAATGTAATAAGCGGAAGCGTATAAATAGGTTTAAAGACGCATTTTAAACATGTCCACAGAATCAGAGATCCTGATACCTCGTGAGAGAGTACCCAGTGCGGTGTGTAGTAAACATCGCCACTGAAGAAAGAAAGGCGGCCGGGCGTGGTGCTGGCCACCCACCACTTCGTGTGCCGTGTTGGCCTTCATTGGTGCTCCTCGCTAACAGCACTTGCCCCAACAGTCTGTTAAGGCTACACGAGGGAGTGGGGGGGGGGCTGGTGGGTTGGAGTGAGTGAGTTCGTTGTGGCTAATGCACGTGTAAAAAAAATAATCAGAAGTTTACTCACAAACATCATCATGACAGAATAGCGCACTTCGGAAAACAATTCGTTTCACAAGCACGTGTTAAAGAGCAAAACAAACTCATCGCATTTGTCAATAACGCTGCGGCCTTTAAAGGAGGAAAAAAGGCATATATGAGGCGACGTTTCGGGCCCTTCTTCACAGCGCACGATGACTATGTTCGAGTTGTTGTCTTTGCCGGGATATGCGAGGAGCAAAAGTAGCTACATATGTAATTACGGGCCCCGCACTTTCAAGGGCCCCGCGCTAAATACTTTCAAGCTATCAATTCCGGTTCAAATGATTCTACACTTGCTCTATTACTATAGTACTATACTGCCTTCAACTTTTATGAACGACGGGGTGTTTAAGGTTAGCGATTTGTCCTATTATCTGACTGTATAGCAAATGCATTTATTTTGTTACTTTACTATGCAAGTAAAAAAATGCGTGTTTTTTTATATTTATGTTTTTTTCATTTTATAACATATACTACAGGCCCGCACTAGCTTAACCCGGCACTGGTTGTTGTAGTCGTAACGTCTCACTTGTCAAGTAAAACGCTAAAAAGGCTCGGCTTACCAAAACGTTTGGCCGGAGCTAATTTATGATGCCACTCGCAAATCTGCGAGGCTCAAATGTGTCCCCAGTGTCAGGGCTCTGTGCAACGACACTTTCCGTTACGTCACTCGGCAATTCAAAAGGAGGCAGGGCAACGGTATTTGGATATACAAGACCAACTTTAGGGCGCCACGGTGGGTATGAGATGCTAACTGCCTCGTCTGGTGTACAGGAGGTCGTGGGTTCGATCCCGACCCTGACGCCTGCTGTATATTTGGAGTTTGCGTGTCTCTCTCTCATCATCATCTTCACGGTGGCTAGGAGATGTTAACTGCCTCGTCTGATGTACAGGAGGTCGTGGGTTCGATCCCGAACCTGACGCCTGTTGTAATTTGGAGTTTGCGTGTCTCTCTCTCTCATCATCATCATCACGGTGGGTATGAGATGTTAACAACCTCGCCTGGTATGGAGGAGGTCGTTGGTTCGATGCCGACACTGACGCCTGCTGTATATTTGGAGTTTGCGTGTCTCTCTCTCAGTGGTCGCGTGGATTTTTCTCCGGGTCCTCCGGTTTTTCCCCTCCATATTTAGAAACATGCGCTTAGAGTATTTGGCTGCTATACATTTCCACATGATAAGCCACTTTGTTGAGCTAGCATTTGTGGCTGGCTCGCTTCTGAAAAATAGCTACATAGCTCAGTGGGCATTGCCTAATCAATTAAAAAACATCGTTAACACGCAGTTTAACTCGATATCAGCTGTAAGTAAACGACAGTTGAAATCCCTCTGGAGTCGATATAGTGCATACCACTTTTTGGTTTAGTTTGTAGTCTTTCTCCCGCACCTCCGATAAGCACGGCTGGCTACGCACGGTGCGAAAGAAGTTCAACATGCATACATACACACCATTGGTCGTCTTATGGAAATAATCGCCCCCGACATAGGAATGTGGAATTTCCTTTCCTGGCGCAGGGCTACAAACGCAACATGTGCACTACCCCAATGCTCGTCTGAGCAAGGAAATCACTTCGGACCTTTTGACTGCGGTAGAGTGGAGCATCTCTGGAGCGGAAGCACTTCAGCCAACAGTTGCGTGAGCAGGCACTTGCAGGGCTGCGCCTGCACCTGCGGTGTGCCTTCATGCACGGCCCTTGTGTAT